AAACAAGGGGGGCCCACACTCCCTTGTGCCAGGAGGACATTCCGTAACAACCATCACACCCTACAGCGGACTCAACGCAGACGAGCGCCCTCGAGAGGGCCGCGATCCGCACCACAGAAAATGATGAAGAGATCTGTCCAACTGAGAACGGTGGCGATTAGCTAGGCCAATCTGAAAAGGCTCTTGGGAGTTTAAGATAGGACAAAGGAGAAACCAGCTAGTAGGGAAGAGAGGAAAACCACCAGAAACTAGCACTTGTCGCCGTCGCCTTAACATTCAAGTGAAAAACCATGAGCTCCAGCTGCGCGCTTACACTGCACCTCACTGACTCCGAAGACCACTCTCTGTTCTTTCTCTAATGCTATTTCTTTGGCTTCTTCTGGTTTATGTGAAGTCAGATCACATGGCTGAGATTCACATTTTTACTTATCTCTAAATATACTGTAATATTTCCTTGTCATCATCATTTACTTCACAATTCACTGCAAAAAAACTAACAGGGCTAGACACCCAGCATTGGCCTTGATTTTTTTTTTTAAATCATTCCACCATATCCTGTCAGGGTGACTTCAATACAGATCACAGATATGTCTTTTTTTCTCTCCACCCAACACTGACCAACCAATTCAGGTCCTTATTTCTTCTATGGTCTGCAACAGCCTTCTGAACGAGTCTGCCACTTTCAGTCTTAGGGTCCCTGAATCCATCTTCCAATTAGTTGTGTAATCTGACAAAGATCAAAATGAGCCAGTCACTTCATATTTAAAATCCTTTGATGATGATTCTTCTCCTACAGAATAAGATCCAAGCTCAATGAAATATTCTGTAAGGCCCTGCTGGATCTTTTCCCAGCTGTTCCTTGTCACACATTTAAATTCCAACAACCTCATATTGCTTGCAAATCCAAACATTTAGAATAATTCTCGCCTCTACACTTTTGTTTATGCCTTTTCCCTTGTAATGTCCAGCCCCTCCTCCTCCTCTGTATCATACCCATCTTTTAAGACTGACCACTGGCCTCATCCCCTTCAAGAAGCTGTCCCTGACCCACCAGCTTCACCCCTGCCCACACAGCCTGCAGTGGACACTCCTCCCATCTTCTCCCCAATACACACAATCCCTGGGTTGAGTAGTTCTGAAGAAGGAAATGACAATCCACTCCAGTACTCTTGCCTTGGAAATCTTGGGGACAGAGGAGCCTGGTGGGCTACAGTCCATGGGGTCGCAAAAGAGTCGGACCTGACTTAGTGACTAACACAACAAGCACTATATACATCAATTGCTTAATAAATCATTACTACAAAAAAAAAAAATCATATGATTATCAGATCACTTAATTCTTGTAGTTATCAACAACTACTCCCTTAAAAAAAAAAAAACAGATTTTCTTTGATGTGGACCATTTTTAAAGTCTTCATTGAATTTGTTACAATGTTGCTTCTGTCTACCTTTTGGTTTTTTGGCCCTGAGGCATCTGGGATTTTAGCTCCCAGATTAGGGATCCAATCCTGCATTGGAAAGGGAAGTCCCCTCAGCTAGTATTCTTAAAGCAAAATTTTGGCAAAGCAAGTTTTTTTTTTTTTTTGGGGGGGGGGAATTCAGTTTTTAAATTCGTTGATCTTAAAGAATATTTTCTGTATCACCTCCCATAAATCTCAAAAGACATTTGTATTTGTAAGCAAGCAAATATATGTTGAGATATTTGTTCTACCTAAAGAAGTGCAAGAAATTAGATAGGCAATTAAATTTAGGAAGCGTTAAAGGTCTAATGACTGGTGATACTGAGGCGGAGGGGAGTTGGGCATATCAAAAGTTCAACCTATTTGGTTACTGTTAATAATGCTTCAATTTGAAGGTGACACTCACTATTTACTTCTTCCTATCATTCCCAACTTTCACATTTCTTCTAAACTGCCCTAAATCAGTATAATCCGCGTGTCTGGACTCTTCCACAGCACTAGTGTGCTCCAGGTAGCACTTTCCCCAGAGGAAGTACTTTCAACATCAACTATTTTTCAAAGTCAACTATTCTCCAGAAAGTTCTAAACTGGATTTGATCTAGTTGAGACAATTAAGTCTCATACAAACTGAAACGGGCAATACAGTATGGTGGAAAGAACGGTAAATTCAGAATCGGTGAAAATTAGTTCCATTCCTGGCTTGCTTGTGATGGGGGAGCTGTATCTCCAGGTGCTCCCACTTTCTCACGTCGTAAATGAGAGCTCTACCATCTTATCCAAATCCAATAACATGCTCTTGGTGTATGTACCAGAAAGCTTCTCAAAGTATCCAGATTGTGGTAACTTCACAAACACAAAAATCCAACCTGCAACTGAAACATCCAGAATGATCAAACCTACTGTCATATTTGTTAAAATGCTTTAAGCTGGAATAAACTTATCATTATAACCTAGGTCTAAACTTGTCATATTTGTATTTATTCAAAGCTAACAAGAATTTTAAAAATAAAAGGGGCCATGTTTAAGGATTTCAACAGTTGGTGTATGACTGCTAAGCAAGAAGTCTTTTTAAAAATTTTAACAGAGTAAACACACCCAATTCCCCTGCAATCTAATCAACTCTGTCTGCATGGCTGGCATTGTTTAACATCAATTCTCTCAAATCACTTAAGGAGCCCCACAGCTTCCAAAAAGAGTTAATTCCTATTGAGAAGAACTACATCTTCAAACCAGAATACTACATCTTCAAACCAGAATACAGTCAGAGCAAAAGAAATTTCTATCTCAAAGGTAGGGAAAATCCTCACCATTCTGGAAAATAATTACCTTCAATCTTTTGAAATTTTACAGCATGCAAAAAATGCTTTATGAACAGTAGTTTTCAATGTTATTTTGTGCCTTGAGGTTTGATTACCACTGCCTATGATACTCCTCCTTTGCTCAGATGCCCAGTAAATTCTCGCGTGGTCCACTCAGAAGGCACACAGAAAAAACAGGAAAAACACACATGCACACATTAAAATAACAAGAGGAGGAAGAGGCAGAGCGGGGAAGGGGGCCTGTAGTTGTGACAGGGGGGGAAGGAGAGACAAAGAAAGGAAAGAAAAAGGGAGAGGAAATGATGACAAACAGCAAGATCTTTTTTTCCAAAAATAATGGTTTATGTTTACAAAATAGTGAAGTTTCCAGAAAGTGAATCTTAGTATTACACAACAGAAAGTAATAAAGAGGCCAACAGGAAAAATAATTGAGACAGCAGTGTCATAAATATTCCAAACTCCAACCAATTTCACATAAGCTATACTTTTCCCTGACCCGAATCAACAATTTTAAGTCAAAGGAGTTAGTAAAACTAGTCAAGGCATGTTACAGTGCTAAATAAACTATAATCACAAATCTCAGATACCATGGAAATTCAGAGCTGGAAATTTCCTTACCAACTAACCACCTAGTTCAACTCTCTTATCACTCAGAGAAAGAAACTGAGGCCCTGCCTGGTAATATACCTAAAATCACAAACGATGGCAGGATTCAGAAAGCTAGAATTCTTTGTTCAGTAATACCCTGTATCTTCTGTCTCTGATTTTATAAGCTAACCATCAACCATCAAATTTCAACTTCTGTCGAGTCTAACAAAAAGCATTCTGGTAGTCTGATCAGAAGTGAACACTTCATTAGAGCACTGTTCACACAAAACACAAAATTAAGAAATAGCCTTCAGAGGAGGGTATTAACAGAATATCCTAACATAAAAAAAACAAAGGTCTGATATTTTGAAATTTTCAGTCATTTAGAATAAGAGCCATAGCATTTAAAATTGGAAGTTCTTCTCTGGATCTATGGATAAAAGGAAGAAATATTCAACACGGCCTATTTTTGTGCGTATTCTTTGCTGCCAGATCATTTGGAAGATTTCTGTGGCTATTCTCCTTTCTGATTAAATAGTAACTTATTTATCAATGTTCTTCTCAAATTTCAGTCCGGTAAACTTTAAGAATTTCACCACAATGGTTGCTTATACCCTCTATATCCATGTCACTAGGATCTGAGTAAGACCCTCCCTTTGAAGCCAATCAAAAATGAGGCTGCTTTGAATGTAAAAGCAGCAGGTTCGGGGCCTAAAAAACTGGATTTGTTTTCACATTGACTGATATAATGGATTGATTCCCCCCCCCCCAGACATGTAAACTTGATGCATGCTATTAATTTGGGTTACATTTCAAAAATTCCCATGGCAATTAATAATTTTATATACAATTAATCTGCTTAAAGCTTTGTTTTAACATAGGAGAGAAAGGTGAGGGGAGGAGGGACCCAAGAGCACTAGCCTAAGGCCTTTTTCTTTTTTAAACTGCAGGTGGAAAACGGAAGCCAATTTTCTTTAAAACACTAAAATACGTTGTTTTTTTAAACAAATCCCTGTTTTCCACGAGACTTTATATAACGCCAACACACAAATATAGGGCATTTCCAATCGGTAGTGCTTCCCCAAGAACACACGTCTTCCTGGGGTTTCAACCCCTCTCACCCTCCAGTTGCTCTTATGGAGATAACACGGACGACAAACTTCGGTCGCCGGTCCTTTTGTCGTCCCCCCTAGACAATCTCCGGCCTAATTTGGGGCAAAACCCTCCACGGATCACTCCCCCCCCCATACATCCCTGCTCTCCCTTGATTAGAAATTAATACCCCAGAATCGTGTCTCTCTTCCCACTCCCCCCACGCGCCCCCCACGTAAGAGGAGAGCGCCTGACCCACCACCACCCGGAGAACAATGTAAACCCAACTGGGAACCCACAGATTTCCTCCATCCTGGCCCGGCGATTTATCTCAAAAGGCAGTCAGAAAGCGAGTTATGTCCTGTCATCCCGGATTCCCCCGAGGTGTCCTGCACCCGGCCTGGGATTACCAGCTCCCACTCTACACGCAGGGAGCCTTAACCCTCCGCCCCCTTCCCGCGATCGCCCCCCACGGACCCCAAGCCCGGCCCCGGAGCGGCGGGCGGGCCGCGGGCCCCGGCTCCCCGCGCATGCCCCGCACCTTTGTAGTGCACCCGCAGGTTGTTCTGAGACAGGCCGATGTAGCTGAACTTGTCCTTCGGGCTCCAGGACCGCGGCAGCGGCGTCTCCTGCTCGTCCACGGCCGGGTAGAGGCGCTTCAGCCGCCGCTGCAGCTCCTTCTCCTGCTCGTTCAGGGCCGAGTCCCCGTGCGGGAAGGGCGCCGCGGCGCTGCCGCCCGCCGCTGGGGCCGGGGCCGGGGCGCCTCCGGCCGGGCCGGGGCCCGCGGCGAGGCCAGGGGGAGCGGGGGGCGCGCCCGCGGGGGCGGCCGCCGAGGCGGGCGGCGGCGGCGGCGGGGGCGGCGGCGGCGGCGGGGCCGCGGTGGCCGGGGGCGGCGGCGGCGGCGGCGGCGGCGGCGGCGGGTGCAGGAGCAGGGCGGCCGCCGCGGCCCCCAAGCCGCCGCCCGCGCCGCCGCCGCCGCCGCCGCCGGGCGAGCCGGCCGGAGACGAGCCGGCGCTGACGGCCGGGGGCGCCGGCAGGACTCCGGGCACCGGGGCCGCGGCCGCCGGCGGGGGCGGCGGGAGCTGCTGCTGCTGCTGTTGTTGTGGCTGCGGCGGCGGCGGCGGCGGCGGCTGCCCGGACATCCCGGCCGCGACTCAGCCTGCGGCCGCCTCCGCCTCCTCTCTCCTTCCTCCTCCGCTTCCCGGGGGCGCTGTGGCGGCGGCCGCCGGCACCAGGCGCCCAGTCCGCCCGCCCCGGAAGCAGGCGGCCGGCCGCGCGCCCAGATGGAGGGAGCGCGACGGTTGAGGGGCTCGCAGCCGGGGCAGTGGGAGGGCGGCGGGCCCCGGGGGCCCCGAGAGAACGTTAGCCGGAGCGCGGGCCCAGGACGAGGCGCCGAGGCCGCGGGCGATGCGGGGCGGGGGGGGGGGGGGGTGAGAGCGCAGTGCCGGCCGCCGCGGCCGCTGCTCTCGCGGCTATTTCCCTGCGGGCGGGCCGGGCCGGCGCGAGACGCTGCGCGCGGGCGGTGCTGCGAGGGGGCGGGGCCGGAGCGCGAGCGCGGCGCGGAGGGCGGGGCCGGACGAGGGGGCAGGGCCGGAGAGCGAGACGAAGCACGCGGGCTGTGCAGCGAGGGGGCGGGGCCGGAGCGCGAGAGGGCGGGGCCTGTCAAGGGGGCGGAGCCGCGCAGGCGGCGGAGGGCGGGCCCGCGCTGGTCCAGGCGCCTGATCCAGGCTGCCAGTGGGACGCGCGCGGTCGGAGGAAGATCGCCGGCTGCTGGCGGGCCGGCGGCTGGCGTCCCCGCCTCTGCCGGGAGCCCGCTGTGTAGCCCCGCCCGCCTGGCCGGCAGACTCTCCTCCTACCTGACTTCTTTTTGTTCCCGTCGCCCCGCCCCCGCCACCGTAGGGTCGCCTCTAGCGCGGCCGGGCCGCTTCCCATCCAGGCGAAAGCAATCGAGCCCCGCTGGGGCAGCCGCGAGCCCGGTCGGCGGACCCCCGAGACCAGCGGGACCGCCCCGGCTCCCGGAGCCCAAATCGGGTCCGTGAGTGAGCCGTTCGGGGCTTGCCCGGGTTCTGCTCGAGCTCGTGCCTCGGGACAGAGCCCTGTTTGTCGCCTGCCTCCTGACGATGTTCCGCATCCTTCATAGTTATGTTAATACTTTAACATAACCATTTCTAAAGGGAAAGTCTCCCACTTAAACCAGGGAGCGTCTTATTAAGTAATTTTATGAGGTCTTAAAAGTGAACCTCGGGTGGCAGAAGGTGTCACTAATTTATTAGGAGTGCTAATGAAGAGTGGCATGTCATCGGAGAGCAGGAACGCGAAATTACAAGTTGTATTTAGGAAGGGCTTCTGCTGCTACTGCTGCTAAGTCGCTTCAGTCGTGTCCTACTCTGTGCGACCCCATAGATGGCAGCCCACCAGGCTCTTCTCTCCCTGGGATTCTTCAGGCAAGAATACTAGAGTGGGTTGCCATTTCCTTCTCCAATGCATGCATGCATGCTAAGTTTCTTCAGTCGTGTCCGATTCTGTGCGACACTCTGGACTGCAGCCCACCAGGCTCGTCCGTCCACAGGATTCTCCAGGCTAGAATACTGGAGGGGGTTGCCATTTCCTTCTCCAGGAAGGGCTTCTAGAGGCGTCCAAACACTTTGCAGACTCGTTAATTTTCATAACAGACCTCTTTATTAGGTAGCAGTGAATTATGCCCATTTTTAAAACAAGGAACTATTCACTGAGGTCAGCAGAGTCAAAAAATAGGACTTCCTACTTTGCAATTCCCAACAGTGCTTTGCTTGGTCTACTGATTGGCACAACTGGTCAAGCGTTGCTCTCCGACCCCTCCCAACGTTACTATTTTGTTTTCACCACTTCTCCTTAAGTTATCCTTTATTTAGCTGGCAAAATCGAGCTTTATGGTGTGTAACCTAGACGATATAAATTCTAGTGTTTTGTTTGCTTCCAAAAATGTTATGATGGTAATTGTTTGTCCAAATAAGCAAAGAACATTCCTTGCTGAATAGAGAATTATTTGTCTTGAAGAGAGTAGGTAAATGGTGACTTAATTGAAGGCCCTCAAGAACTGGCCAGAACTAATAGTCATTCAGTCTAATTTCTCCCTCAATCACCCAGCCACTAGATGCCCTGTTGTTCTTTAATAAAAATATCCGATAATTCTAACCTAGCACTTGATGACTTTTTTCAAGCCACTGCACTGTAAATTACATGATTTCATTGTATTTAAATTGTTCTAAGACTGTCACTTATATTAAAGTAAGGAGTTAATTGTAAGCCAAGCTTTATTTAAATATTGGCTAGCCAAGTTAGAATAAGTGAGCTCCAAGTCTCATCCAACTTTTTAAAAGTAGTCACCAAGGTTTTATTTACGAAGGTGTATTTTCTCCTGTCGGTACACTGAGGAACCATTTAGAATTTTACATATGCTTAGGAATAACTGAGAGAAGAAAAGTAGCTGATATTTTGTTGGAAGCTTTTTATAGGGGTGACTACTTACCAAACAGGCAGCCTGAGGAAATTAATGATTTCAGTTGTGTAAATTTCAGGATTCTGTAAAGCAGGCCTACACTGAAAGTTTCAGAAAACAGCAACATCATTTTAGAAAGCCACAAATTTATCATGTTTACATGCTGTCCTTAGTTGCTTCAGTCGTGTCCAACTTTCTGCGACCCCATGAACTGCAGCCCGCCAGGCTCCTCTGTCCTTAGAATTCTCCAAGCAAGAATATTGGAGTGGGTAGCCATTTCCTTCTCCAAGGGATCTTCCCAACCCAGGGATTCCCACATTTCATGGGGATTCTTTACCAGCTGAGCCACCAGGGGAGCATGATCATACTTATAAAGAGACATAAAGGTGTTCATGCCTTTTGACACATTCCCACCAAAAAATTAGAACCAAGTAGCAAAATATGAAGTGTTGAAAAAATTAAGGCCTGAAAAAGTTCAACAGGAAATACTGATAGATCAAACATGGAAGCAAACTAAATGCCCAACATGAAGGAACTAGTTGAAGAAATTCCACTCAAGGGAATCAGAAGCATATTTACCAAATTTGTTCAAAAAAATTTTTTTAATGCATCCCCCCTGGGCAGTGGAATCTCCAAAAGAAGGTGGACAACTAATTAGAGAACAGGCACTCCTTCCTCTTGAATCAGTCAGTAGATACAGGGCACAGTTTGGTACCCAGTCCTTCCAGGCCTCTTGCATAAGCACAGCCTGAAGTAGATATATACATTATTAAAGATGAAGACACAGAAAAGTGATTCTGATGTTCTAAATGGAAAAAGGCTAAACAATAATTTGCCAAAATTGTTACCAAAAAGACATGGAGGGAAAAAATCACAAAATTCTTCTACCATGCACAATTATAATACATAATTAAAGTGAAAGTGAAGTTGCTCAGTCGTGTCCTACTCTTTGCGACACCATGGACTATAGCCAACCAGGCTCCTCAGTCCATGGAATTTTCCAGGCAATAGTACTGGAGTGGGTTGCCCTTTCCTTCTCCAGGGGATCTTCCCAACCCAGGGATCGAACCTGGGTCTCCTGCATTGCTGGCAGAGGCTTTACCATCTGAACCATCAGGGAAGCCATAATTAAAAGTAAAGTTTTATTACAAAAATATGAGACTTTCATTTAGAGACCTAGATGGTAAAAACCTGTTAGCCTTGAATCTGTCCACAATCATTTTGCCCCTATATTTTCAGTCCTTCCCATATATTGCTATGATACTGATACACACATACCTGCTGAGGTTCTCAGTAGTAAACAATTAGGAGCCAATTCTGACTGTCTTAAGTGGAAGGAACTCATTGGAAACATATTGGGTGGGTCTCAGGATTAACCAGAAGGCTAGAGAACCAGGCCTAAAACAAGAACAAAAGGGGCCAGGCAACATAAATAGAGTAGCCTCACCACTGGTTACATCAGCTACAATCGGATGCTACCTCTGACACCTTTCTGACCCCCAATCTTTTCATCACTCACTCAAGGTTCAAAGTTGGCCAAACCGAAGTTGCAACCTCCTGCCAAGGACTACCAATGAGTAGAGATTTCCAGCTTATAGGGGTGCTAAGTTACTGAGACCTTCCACTCAGGATGGGACTGAAGTGGCTAGAGCCTGTGGCACCTTCTGGCAGTGAGCAGTCACGTGAGTTCATAGAGAACTTGACACATCTGATTCATTTTCTTTGCTTGGCATGACATGGAAGGGTTAGAACACACTGCCCTAATGGGACAGGGACCACTGATGTCCACAGTCGAGGATTTTCCAGTATCAAGAAAGAGGTTCAGACCCTGACCCATCAGTTTCAGTAAATGTCCATGACAGTGTCTTTCTGGGCCCTGGGAAATGGGATGGCAGACTGTGCCATCTGCCGTGTGGTGTTAGGGTCTGCAATTAGTTATCCGTTCCTGCTGAACAAAGTATCCTCCAACTAAGTGGTTTAAAATATTTATTATCATACACTTTCTGTGAATCAGAAAGCTCATGAGGGTGGGGGGAGAAGCCTCCCTGGACGGGGGAGGAGCTTCTCTGGAGATCCAGTGGTTAAGACTTCTAGCTTCCATGGCAGGGGCATGCCTTCTATCCCTGATCCGGGAACTAAAATCCCACATGTCGAGAGGTGCAGCGGCGGAGGGGGGGGTGGGGATTGGGGAGGGTTGGGGGGTGGGGGGCGGGGAGGCGGTGGGGGCGGGGGGGTGGGGATAAAAGAAACCTCATGGACATTCATGGTGCCAGCTGGGGCGGAAGAATTGATGGGGAGTGATCCAAGCTCACTCACACAGTTGTCTTTGGAGGATTGGACTGTGTTCTAGAGACCATTGGTCTAAGGGCCTTGGTTACTTGCTGGCTATTGGCCCTCTATTCTTTGCCACATGGGGCTCTCCAGCATGGCAGCTTGCTTCATCAAAATATGCCAGCCAAGGAAGCACTGGCCGAGGGACAGAACTCACAACCTTTAGTAACTGCATCACATCCATTGCTTTGGCCATAATCTGTTTGTTCAAAGTCACTAGGTCCAGCCCACATTTAAGGGGAGGATTTGACATGATGGCATGGATACCAGACAGCAGGGAATTTCCTTTCAGGGTGTCTTTGAATACTGCCTCTTACAGGGTTGTTACAACTTCCAGTGACCCAGGGAGACTGCACTTGCCACACACACATCAACTATATCTTCTCAGACCAGGAATTGGCCAACTTTTTATGTAACGGGTTGTGTAGTAAATATTTTAGGTTCCATGCACCTGTTGAAACTATTCAACTTTGCCTTTGTGGATGAAAAGAAGCCACAGACAATACATAAACCAATGGGTGTGGCTGTGTTCCAATAAAACTTCGTTTACAAAAAAAACAGGCAGCAGGCTAAACTTGGTCTACAGACTACTTTGTGATCCCAATTCTAGAAAACACCTCTTATAAACCATCCTCAATCCTAAATGGCAAGACCAAGCCACTAGCAATGAAATCCCAGAAGGCAGCAAGTTGACTTTATGACCAATGACACTAGGGTCCTGGACATGCCTGATGCCATACATGAACAGGGTCGGGTTATTTCTGCCACAAATGTGTGGCAAATTGAACTGGATGGCAAGTAGCAGAACAAGGCTAGGAAGCTGCTGCAGGAAGGGGTTTGGAGTAATGTTCCGTCAGCATTTATTAAGCACCTATTACATTTGGAATCCTGTGTTAGGTTCTGGGCACAGAGTTAGGGGAAGAATGAAGAAGGATTACAAAGACAAACAAGGCAATATGGAATCTGTTCTTTCAGTGAATTGAATCTAGTTGGAGAGGCAAGAGTAGTACCATGGATAACAACAGGGCTTCTCAAATCTGCAGGTGGACGTTTGCTGAGCGGCACCCGAGATGCTACATTTCTAACAGGCTTCCGGGGGCTGTCACTGCTTCTGGTCCACAGACCATCCTCTGAATAACAAGGACTTAGAGAAACAGGGGAAGCTCTTTAGAAACAGAGGCTATCACTTGCCTTTCTTCTGTGAGTTAGCCACCTATTTCCTGACATGTG